TTTACTTTATCAAATCTAATAAAATAAATATTTTTATAAAATTAGCTTTATTTAAATATATGGAATTTTTAAAGTTGATTCTGGAACCACTTTTGCAGATTTGCAGAGCCCTAATGTGTGTGTGTGTGTACACATGCACATATAAGTTTATATGTGAGTGTCTATGTGTGTGTGTGTGTGCGTACGTGTGTGTGTGTGTGTGTGTGTGTGTATGCATATAATAAATATATACAGCGACATACTAAAGTTTTCTTCCAATGACACTTTTATCTCTGGGTTTTTTCAAAAAAAGATATATAGTTTTTATTTTTTATGAGATATTAGTATGAGATTAGTAAGGGAAACAAAATAATATAGTAAGAGTATTATTTATGTCTTTGTGTATATTCTTTATTATTTATAATTGTTATGTTTATATGTGCAAAGGTTTATGGCCACTTTGTGCTACAATAAAAAACATGTTTTGTAATAGGCTAAAATTATATTTTTGTGTTAATTTTTTGTAACCATACCCTTTACAGCAATTACAGTTGTACAATCATGTGCCATTGACTTAATTAATACAACTTTTTTTTCAAATTCTTCTTTCAACAATTAAACAATGTGGCTTTATTTAAATATGTATTCTTTCAAATTTAATGATTTAGCATTTCGCATAAGTATTTTATTGGGTTCAACTCCAGTGACTAAAATTCATATTTGAAGCAGAAAACAAACTTAGATAAAACCAACTTCAGATAAACTTAGATAAAATCAACTTTTAACAACTTGGATGTATAGTTAAAGTCATTATCCTGCTGAAATATCAAAATCTTTAGCATTGTTACTTCAGCATTTATTGTTTTCCAAAATGTATTCGTTTTACACCATATTTTACAGCTAAAAGTTGGTACTGACCAACATTTCTCATGCCAGTTTGGGCATGCTTTTTTGCAAGCTGCTTTTTTCTAATCTTTGTTTGTCCTATTGCAGTGCTTTTTGGCAAGTTGTAATTGGATCTTCTGATTCTATTTACTACTAATGGTTTTTTGATATTTATACAGCCAAAAAATCTGACATGCAGCATTAGTGTCAAATTACTAGGTAAGACAAGTTTTGATCGTTTACTTTGTGTGTAATATTGGCAGTAGTTTCCTTGAAATCCGATATTAATTTGTATTTAATAATAAAGTCTAATTTTTTTGTCTTTCATGACACAGACAATCTTTTAAACCATATCTGTGACAGTATTTTAAAATAATATTGTTCAAGGTTCATTTATCTATCAGTGATAGTAAATCAATTTCACCTTCAATTTACATTTTATTACTCTCTCACAAATTTAGATTAGTGTACGCTGAGCCATGTTAATACTTCCACAACCTTCTATAAATTAATTGTAAACATTTAAAGCAATCTAATTGTGTCTTTGATTGCTGTACTGCTTTAATGTTTATTATGGAAACTTTTACACAATAGGTATAACAATTAATATATTCAGAAACATGAATAATATATTACTGTACTTTTTTATTTCCTATATCTTATACTGACATCCCTATATTGATTAAAAGTTATTATACATCAATGTATACCACTAAAGATGGGCTTCTAATGTTATTAGAAAAAAAAAAAGTTCTTCAAAAATATGTCAAACTATGCTGATACTTTTATTTTTTATTAGCATTTATAATTATTAACTTTTATTTTTTTATGTATAAAAATTTGAAGTTTACTGTAATTTGGCTTTGTTACCGCTGAAATCGCATTCTTGTAAAATCTAATTTTTATTTTTTCCTTACATTTTTAAAAGCATATATAATACAGCAAATGAATCAGTCTAATATTCATGTATTTTTTATGAATTTAAATGTTTTCTTGTGATAAATGTTATACTATACAACACAAAAACTTCTTTTAAATATTTTTTCTATAAATATTAGGTGGAGAGATTTATTGGCAATAACTGCATGTAATAACAATATATATATTTATTAGTTATATTCAATATTACTTTAAAGTTATTATTTTTAACATCTTTCGAAAAAAAAAAAAAAACTTGTATTTTTTAAACTGATATATTTATACCTAGCTGCAATTGCGATTCCAGTATTGGTTGTTTCTATTATAATTGTTATCATGATTTCTGTTGCTGTTGTTGTTGTTGTAAGAAATTTTAGAAGACAAGTAATGTGGAATGCAGATTCTTACATTTATGGGTGAATGTTATTTATTTTTTAATTCGTTTTTAAATTTGGTAAAGGTTTTCCCATTATGCATATAGGTAGTATAATGAGAACCAGTTTTATGAAAGGTTATTTTTTTGCTAGAACCATTAAAAAACTGCAGGTTTATTGTCTTCCTTTAGTTTAAATTATTAATTCAAACTTATCAAATGTGTAGTAGGTTTCTAAAATGGCCTTCTATCCATTGCATGTCTATGTGGTATCTGGGAACTAACTGGTAATATTATTATCAGTTTTTTCTTAAAATTGGTTTTTTACATACACAATCTACATAAAATATGTAATCAGTGGCGTTTCCAGGCTGATTTTGATACTGGTATACTGGTATGGGCGCCCAAATTTTTAGCCTAAACTCCGGTTCGAAGTATTTCAATACTTGGTGTAATTAAATCAATTTTAAAACATTATAGCATTTGTATGATATTTTGTTGACTATGACATATTTCCGTTAAATGATCAGATCTGTGAATTATGAAAAGGCAAACAAAATTAAAATAATATATTTTGCGATATCATAAAATATGAATGTTTGTAGTGAAAAAACCGACACCGAAGATTCTTTTTTAAAAAAAAATTCTTAAAATCACGATCGTTTGTCCAAATTTGAATATGATTTTAAATAAATATGTTGTTTAGGTAAAATGATCACCATAGGTTAATAAAATGATCTGTTATGATTGTTTATTGGCAATTTTTCTTAATTATAAGCTCTTTCTTGGTCGGAATTCTAAAATTTTTTGGGAAATTGATAGAAATATTGTATTTTGAAAAATATAAATAATATACGTCAGAACCAATTAGAACTAGGACCTATAGTAAATTAAGAACCAATTAGAACTAAGATCAATAGTAAATTAAGAACCGATTAGAACTAGGATCTGTAGTAAATAAGGAACCGATTAGAACTAGGATCAATAGTAAATTAAGAACTGATTAGAACTAGGATCTATAGTAAATTAAGAACCCATTAGAACTAGGATCAATAGTAAATTATGAACCAATTAGTTCTTAATTTACTATTGATCCTAGTAAATTAAGAACTAATTTACTAGGATCAATAATAATAATACATATAATAAATTAAGTTTTTTAAAAAATTTTAACTAAATTCATGTTAACATCGATGAGCGAAGTTGATCTAAAGACTCCAAAATGGTGTTCTTTAGATTCACTATTAGGGGTGATAAAAAAGTTTTGAAAATTATATAAAAAAAGAAAGGTTTCTTTAAGTATTAAAAAAACCTGAAGCAAAAAAAATTATATCATCTAAAGCTCTTGTTTGGACATAATATGCTGATAAAATTAAGTGTTTAGTAAAAAAATAAAAATCTTTAATGCGTTCGCGGAGGTATGACCGGTATTTTCAAAAATTTTTTGGATATGTCACTGGTAATCAATATTTTTCAAATACCATTAACTTTGTTAAAGCCAGAGTTAAAACAAAAAACTTGGGAGCTGGAACCATTCTTTCTAAAAAAAAATGGAGCTAAAACCATTGGCTTAAAAAAAATCAGAGCTGGAACCATTCAAAAAATATTGGAGCTAGAGCCATAAATTTTTTCTTCCAGCTCCCCACTTCTGGTAGTAAGTCATTATTGGGAAACAATGCTAATTAAATTTTTACTAATGAACATTTAAAAAAAAACAATTTATGTACCATAAGGCTACTAAAAGTTACTCTTTGTAATGTTTTAAAAAAAATAATTATAAACTCATTCAATCATTTTAAACTTTGACATTTGACTTATATGTTATTTTTTAAACACAACATGTTATTTTCTAGACACAACATTGATTATTCTAAATCAACACCTTGTTGGATTTTTCCTGAAAGTATAGTTTTTGATAAGAAAATTGGTGAAGGTGCTTTTGGAAATGTCTTTATAGCAAAAATCAATACACAAGTTATTTCTAAAACAATGTATGCAAAACAATCTCAGTTAGTTTCAGATGATGTCAAAAATGATTTAACTGTTGCTGTAAAACTTTTAAAAGGTGTGTTTTAAAAGTTTTTAATGTTTTGTTTTTTTAACTTTCATTTAACTTTTTTTTTTTTATCAGTAGGTATAAAATAAATAATAAAAATATCAAACTACTAATAGTAGTATAAAACATCAAAAGTTTATACATAAACTTATACATAAAAACTTATGCTAGGCACATCAAAAACTTATGCTAGGCACATCAAAAACTTATGCTTGGCACATCAAACTAGTAATAGTAGTTTTACTCCTAATTCTTTAAAGATTTTTATTAAAGATAAAAAAAACTTTGTTTTTTGATTATTTTTTTCTTTTTTTTTACAAAAAACTGCTTGGATTCAAGTCAGATAAAAGTATCTTATATTAGATCTCAAAATAAGCATAATTAATTTAAAAAAAAAATGAAAATTATATAAATAATTATATAAATAATAAGAAAATTAATTATAAAAATAGCAATTATTTTTTTCATTTTATTTTTTAACTCAAGTTTCTGATTAACTAAAGTTTTAAATTAATGTTTTTAATATTTCTAACTAAAGTTTTAAATTAATGTTTTTAATATTTCAATTTATTACACTTTTTATTTCTTAAAGCATTTGTTATTGTTTAATAATTTTTGTAGATGGTGCAAATCAATCAGAGTTTGACAATTTTTGTGACGAAATCGATCTAATGAAAAAAATTGGATATCATCAATATATTGTCAACATGATTGGTTATTCTAAAGTCAAAAAGCCATTGTGTTTAGTTCTTGAGTATATGGAAAATGGAAATTTGTTGCATTTCTTAAGAAATACACGCAATAAAGTAAAATTTCTTTATTTAAATTGTTATTAGCAGTTAAAAATATTGATAAATTTAGTTTTATAGTTATATCAAATATAAAAAAAAAAGCTTTTTAGTTTCTTTTATACTTAATTTTAACTTTTTTAATATTAGAAAACATTAATTAGCCGTGAAAACATCAGACATAACAAGATGGTTTTCAGAAATTTCAAAATGCCATCCTGTCTAACCATTGCTATATTAGGCCAAGTTAGATTTCTTCAACCTTTTTTTTTAATGTTTAAAATCTAAAATGTTCAACAAATGAGGGCTTTAAAACTTATTATGTTATTTTTTATATTTTCTATCTTTTGAATGGCAAAATATATAGGATAAAAATTGAAAATTTAACACAGGAGAATACCTATGTTGATGTTCTGAACAGGTCAGGTCCAAACATGTTAGACCCGTCAACATTATATTTTTATCAAGAAGCAGAAGTACACCCAGGGTTAATCAAATGTCAACAAAGTTCACAAAATTTGCTACAATCTGAATTTTCCAACTCATTCAACTTAAATAATTGAGTTTACAATAAAAAACCTTGACCTTTGACTCATCAACATCATCCATAGATTATATGTAACTTATGTATCCTTATTTTGACTCATCAATATCATCCTTGGATTATATGTAACTTCTATCCATGTTGTAAATTATTTTACTTTTTTTAATGATAATAGTATGATGTCATTTAATATTTAAAAAATAGAACATGGATGTGATTTTTAGCTCAGAAATACAGAGGAAACTCAAAGCTTTATGAGCACAGAAAATCCAAAGAATCTTGAGGTTTTTTTTTGTTTAATTTATTTTTCATCTAATTTTTGATTTTCTATTTACTAATCTATTAGTAATTATAAACTAATTTATTTAAATTAACTTATTTCATTTAAATATTTTATAGACAGTTAAATTAATACAAAATGAATCTCTGTCATCAGAAATAATTACTCCTAATGATTTGCTCAATTTTGCATGGCAAATATCATCAGGAATGGTATGAGTGTTTTAAATTTTTTATTTGTTCTAATTCAATTTCTTCTTGGCTTTTTATATGAATATCTTTTTTCAGGAGTATCTTTCAAGTATCAAACTTGTTCACTGTGATCTTGCTGCAAGAAATATCTTAGTTGGTGCTACTAAAAATATAAAAATATCAGGTTTTGGATTGACTCGAAAATCCAATGAAAATTTAACTTATCTAAGTTGCAAAAGTCGTCGCTTACCAGTCAAGTGGATGGCAGTGGAAGCATTATTTGATCATATGTTTACATCATACAGTGATGTGTAAATTTTTTATTTATCTAATCTTTTTTATTTTTTACATGTGATGATAGTAGCATATCCATAGGTTTAATATTTAGGAGAAGGCTGCATAATACCTCCTACATAATATACAGGAGAAGGCTGTCTCCCACATAATATACAGGAAGAGGCAGGTTAGTAAGACTAACCTGACTTAGTTATCGATAATATCTAATTTTTTTTTTAATTTTTGTAGTATTGAACTTTTTTAAAAATTTAAGCAGTAATTGTAGTTTTTGTTTGGGTATTTTTTGAAAATACTAAAACAGTGATAAGAAATATTTGAAAAAATTTCCTTGCTAAATATTTTTTTAAAATTTTTAAAATTATGTTAATCTCTTACCTCAGCTCAGAGTTTATGGATTTTATCGATTCCTTTGATTAGAATAATTTCTTTCAAATGTTAATCTATTTTTATATCACATTTCTATACATTTTGAATGGGAGATTGAAACGTAAATTTTTTTATGTTTCAATCTTCCATTAAAAATTGGAAGATTGAAACGTAAAATTTTTATGGGTAGTTTCCATATCAAACTACCCATAAAAATTTTACCTTATTTTAAAAAATAACATAAAATTTTTATGGGTAGTTTGATACGGAAAGTAGGTTTTTGTTGATGTTTATTTGGTACAATCTTTTTGTACTGGTATTTAAAGTTGTAGAATCAAATATTTGCACAAAGTAACAAATAAGATTTAAAACTCATTTTTTAATTCAAAAGGTCTGTTATTACATTAGGCAATATTTGTCGAACTACAAATACTAGATGTTATTCCAGCAGACTAATAGCTTACAAAATCCTCATTTACAGTTATTCTGTCCCGTACTAGTTTACTTGAGTGAATTAATGAAAATCACAATGGTAGTGAAGAATCATTGAGTTTTTCTTATCTTTGAATAGTCTCTAGTCTCATTTGCTGCTTCCACTTTTTTCATCAAATACTCTTTCTTCATTTAGTGACTTTTTAAACTTTTAAACTTAAGTTTTTCCAACTGATAAAATTCCAGCTTTATTGGATGTTGTTTTTGCTAATTGGTTGCACTAGAAGAATGTTTAAGTTTACGTTATTTCCATTGTTCAAAAAAAAAAAATACAGGAATTTCCAATTTATATATTTTTACTCTATCTATGACTGGTCTCTTATTGTCAAACAGGCTATACAAAAAAAAAAGCCAACAGAGTAACTAAAGGTAACAGTAAATGAATAAATTAAACAAGAGAAAGAGAAGAGCAAAAAATATCATTTATGGATTACCTAAAGAACTAAAGAAAGCATAGTATTAAAATCAAAAAGAAGTCAAAAGTAAATAAATTTGTTACCTCATCAAGAGAATGTAATACCAAAATTTGTTAGAAAGCCAAGATCTAAAACTAATAAACCAAGTCCAATTTTTGAATTAGCTGTGGATATTCTTTGCAACACAACATTAGCATCAGTCAAAAAATTGAGAAGTGATGTTGTACTAAAGATATTTACTCTAGTCCAGATTTGACTGAGGAGCAGAGACTCCAAGACTTTAACCTCAGAATTAAAAGAAATAAAATGAATTAAGACAATGATCTCTTTTGGTATGGTATCTGTGGCAATAAGATCGTCAAATTCAAGTATAAAATCAGATCAATAAATTTATACACATTTTAATGTCAGATAGCAATGAAATTAAAAAGCTGCTATGTTTTATCTAAATGCTACCTCTCTCAATAACAAATTAAATGAGTTCAAAGTGGTAATTGATCAATGCAAACCAAATGTTATTAAACAATACAAACCAATTGTAATTGAACAATACATTTGACTGAGGTTTAAAAGTAATTCATTAGTAAACCTTAAAACCATCTGTATAGAAAAGACAGATCAGACAGACGAAAAGATAGTGGTGTTTGTTTTTATATAGACTATACACTAGACTCCTATAAAACAAGTGATGCTGTTCTAAATTCCTGTAAACTAGAACAAATATGGACAATTCTAAGCCATCCGTGACAGTAAAAGCAAGCAATGATTTTTGTTTTCTAATTTCAATTTTGAACTCATATCTAATCTAATTTCAAATGTTGACTGGATACAATGCTTTAGTAATGAAAATATACCAGAAATGTTCGATGAACTGTTTTTTTACACTAAGGTGGCATGTAATCATTTCACTCTAATTAAAAAGACATTCAACTCTCTAAAAATCATTTGTAAAAGAAATGATTTTTAGAGAGTTGAGAGTCTTCTGCCTTCTCTTGACTTAAGAACCTTTGAAACATTCATAAGTGAATAAACTTAAATTAATTGAAATATATATATATATATATACATTTATATGATTGAAGTATATATATGTATATATATATATATATATATATATATATATATATATATATATATATATATATATATATATATATATATATATATATATATATATATATATATATATATATATATATATATATATATATATATATATATATATATATATATATATATATATATATATATATGATAAATAAAGATTTTACATATGAAGGTTTCCTTCTAAGAGTAAAAAATTTGGAAAAAAATAAATCAAGTGGTGTTGATAATTTACATTGATCTATTTTTAAAAATTGTACATTAACCTTTGCCAATAACTTACATACATTTTCAAACAGTTGTTTGAAACCAGAAAACTGCCACTGCAATTTAGGTCAGCAAATATGTAAAACCACATAAAAGATTGTTGCTTAAACTAACAGCTTATCTGGTTAACAATTCAATGGATTGAAGCCTTTTTAAAAGAAAGAATACAAAAAGTTGTGATTTGTGAAAATGTATCCTATTGGGCAGAAATTATTAATGGTGTGCCACAGGGTTCAGTAATTAGACCACTCTTGTTTGTGCTATTTCTGAATGATTTGCTTGAAACTCTTAAAAACGTAACCAAGCTGTATTTAAATGACACCAAAATTTTGAATGAAAAGTTTTCAGCTCTTTATTTGCAATCTGATCTTGATTTAGCTTTAAAGTGGATTCAAGAGTTGTGAAATTTAATATTTCTAAATGTTGGTTCGGATTAAAAAATGCCTTGTTTGTTTAGATATTCTTGAAAATACTTTCTTTTGTGCTTCTTTTGTGCAACAACTGTTAGTTATTCAAAAGGGTGATATTAATTTGATAAAAAGAATCCTACATCGTGTAACTTGATTAATACCATCACTCAAGAAGCTACGAGAATCATCTAAAAGCTCTTGACTTGACTACCTTGGCAAAAAGAAGACAAAGAGCAGACATTCAATTTTTTAAATTTTTTAATGGTTTCCACAATTTGGAAACAATAAAAAATAATTGTTTTCAACAAACTCAAAATTTCTTTAAATAGGTTAAAGAAATCACTAAGCAAGCATTTTGGTAAAACTTAATAGATAATTGTGGAATAGCTTGCCAAGCAAGTTGGTTAACACACAATCAGTTAACAGTTTTAAAGCAAATCAAGCTCCTAAAGCAACAAATTAAAATAATCAAATATTGGTTGACACAGGTTGTATAATTTCCTTTAACAGAATTGCTAAGAAGGTAGTTAAAAATTATTGTGATTTCAAAATCAAGAGAAAAAATTTTCAACTATTGCACAAATATTACGATTTTCACTACTCTTTAAAATTGTTTTAAATTAATCCTGAATTTCAAAATACTAAAGACACCTATGAGACACAAATAGTCATTAAATACCATTAAATTTAGAGTTCTTTGCAGCCATGGCGCAGTGGTTAGAGTTCTGGCTAAGAAGCAAGAGGTTTAAGGTTTGATGCTGGCTCTAACCCAATAAACATTGCTAAACATTGGTAAAAGAGCTAGAAACTTTCTTGTTAAATGCTCCTCTGCAGTGCTCTCTGACTGTTTTCTGACTGTTAGGTCTTTTCTGAACACTATTTAAGAAAAGCAACCTGAGGAACAAATAGTTTTTATTAGCAAAGTTGAATTTATTATTTTATTATGGATTTGTTGTTTTTTAAATTGGAGCAATGTTTATAGCAGTTGTTTTTCTGTTCTTGAAACAAAATGAAAGTGAAAATCTAAAAAGCAGGTATAATACGATATTTGTCATGGACAATATCTGCTTTTATTGAATGTTAAGCGTTTAGAATTTAATTATGGATGGGCAATTGAATTTGCTGTATTTACCTCACCATTTCTCAATCCTACTGAAAATATGTTTAACATTTCTCAATCCTACTGAAAAAATGTTTAACATTTCTCAATCCTACTGAAAATATGTTTAACAAAATAAGAGAAATTACTAAACGAAAAGAATGAAATGAGGCTGAGCTAAAATTGTGAGAAAAAAAAATCAAAAATTGAAATTGTGGCATTAGCCACAATTTCAGTCTTGTCTTAAGCACAGACTGCAATATTGATCACAATATGTGGTCTAATATTACAATATGTTTCGATTGCAAAGAAATTTTCGATTGATAAAGTAATCAAAATTTATTTAAAAATATTTTCTTAAATCAATAAAACTTTATAAAAAATTATTGACACACTATCAAAATACAATTATATATTGTCAAAATGCAATGACCCATTATCAAGTTAGGCTAAGAAACCCTGTAAGGAATAAATTTGAAAGAAGTTTAAATTTCATTTTAAATTTTATGTTCAAACATTGTTTTAGTATTAAAAAAACCTATAGCTCTCACATTTTCTTTTTTCTTTTGAATACTCCAATCATAAAATGCTCCTTTTTAATCACTTATAAAAATCTTTATTTTTGGCTTTAGGTAAACTTGTTCTTACAAAATCAGTTGTTCAACGTTTGAAACATCTAAAAACGAGTTAAAAAAAATAAATTTTTAAATTATTTAACAGAGCTTCTTTTTTTATGTTAGTTCAGCTTCCTTGACAAACAAGGCCGCTGCGCAGAGAAACAAGTTAAAAAAAATATTTTAACTCTGTTGCTCTAAATTGCTTTTTTTTTTTTTTTAATTAAAACTAGTTTTATGTTCTCTATTCAAAATCTTTTAAATTTAATGATTTCTAATACCTAATGGTAGGGATTCCAGTTTTTTTAAATGAGATTATTGTTTCTTAACACATTGTATCATCACTAATTCATTTCATTTGTTAGTACAAAGTAAAAACATTTTAGGGAATTTCTGTTGGCAAATGCCTTTGTTCCATTTTTGATAATTATATGGCAAATATTTCTAATTAATCTAGTTTTTTGAATGGTTGTTACATAGATCGACTGAGTTTATGAATTAACTCATTCATATGAATGTCATCTACGTTATAAAAAATATCGTAATACTTTATTCTTTTTTTTTAAGTTTTCAAGATGAAATAAACCATTATACCCATATATATTTGTATGTGTGTGGGCGTGTGTACGTGTGTGGGTGAGTTAGTTTGTTACGTGTTTGTGTGTATTGTTTTAATAATAATATGGTAACAAAATTTATTTTAGATGGGCGTATGGAATTGTTTTGTTTGAAATTGTTACACTAGGTACGTTTAATTACTGTAAAAATATGCTGTAAAAATTTATGTTAATGGGTTATATACTATTTAAAATTTTATACGCTTTGTGTTATTTTTTGGCATACAGGAGGATCGCCTTATCCTACAGTAAGTGATTGTGAACTGCTACCACTTTTAAAGTCTGGTTTCAGGATGGATCGACCAAAAAATTGCGCTCAACCTATGTAATTTTTTTTTTTTTTTTTTTTGTCTATTACCCTTGAAAATGATTTTCTTTGCAAAACATCAGATTTTTTTAATTTTTAGGTATGATATAATGGTAAAGTGTTGGAATGAAGATCCTTTACAGCGACCAACTTTTACTGAGTTACGCAAGCTTTTTGAGGAAATAATTTCTCGAGGTGACAGTTACATAAGTTTTGATATCGACGAAGAAAATAGTTGTTACAAGGTACACATACCGTCTGAAACAAGTCATATTTTGAAAAAAGAATTATATAAATCGCCTGGTGTTGAAACATCGATTTAGGGAGTTTACAATAAAGATAGTTATTTGTGAAGTTTCGATCTTAAAGATGTTCGATGTTTATAATTTAATTGTTTTTTATATATATTAAACTTAAATTTTAAGTTTAATATATCAATATAATACAAACTTATTTAAATATTTTTAAAACGATTTTTAAATTTTTATCAACAATATTTATAATCTTTTATTTTGGTTATTTAATATTATTCAGTTAAGTTTTTCGAATAAATATTTTGTGAAAACTTCAATTTTTACTGTTTGTACTTACTTATTTTGGTTATATTTTGATTTTTTACTGTGTGTGTATATTTATTTTGTGTATACCTCGATTTTTTTTTACTGTTTGTATATATTTATTTTGTGTATACCTCATTTTTTTTACTGTTTGTATATATTTATTTTGTGTATATTTCGATTTTTTTACTGTTTGTATATATTTATTTTGTGTATACTTCGATTTTTTTACTGTTTGTATATATTTATTTTGTGTATACTTCGATTTTTTTACTGTTTGTATATATTTATTTTGTGTATAACTCGATTTTTTACTATTTTTACTTTATATTTTTTTAACTTTATGCTATTTAAATGCAGAACTATTTAATGTAACATTTATTATCATATAGAATTATAGAAATATTGATTAACTTGGTGGTTTTGGGAAGGTGTTTTTTGAGTCTGTTATCACATCAAGTAAACAATTTCCTAAAAACAATAATACCAACAGTAAACAGATTTTAAAGAATATTTTTGCGAAGAATATCTATACTGTTATATATATATATATATATATATATATATATATATATATATATATATATATATATATATATATATATATATATATATATTTACATTTATTTTGCTGTTTAACAATAAATAATCAAACAAAAATTTATACAAAAAAGAAAAAAAATATGTCCGTAGAACAAAGAAGACAGTAAAATCTTGTCAACAAGCACCGTTTTTGTATATACAGTATAAAATAAAACACTATTCTTTTTACAATGATCTTTATAAAATAAAGAGTTAAACAGACAGGGGCTCAAAGAAGATGAAGATGACAATATGTCATCGCAATCTTTTCATAGAGCCCCTATATACACTTTCCATAGAATGTAGGTATTAAATTAAAAACCCTAATGGGCATAAAACTGCTGCGCTGATCAGTAAATCAAATAAAGATAAAATATAAAAAAAAATTAGACAAATAATATTCCTTTATGATTCCTTTAAGCACAAAAGATTCTCAAAATTTAAAAATTTTCTATTTTTATTAGAAACTTAAATAAACTTAATGACTTTGCCATACATTTAAATCCTTTTTGATAACTGTTCCATATATTTGGTCCTCGATATGCAATGCTATATTCAGTATATTTATTAATGTTTTGAGGCAGTTTATATGTGTTACTTATATTTTCTCTTAGATAATAGTTTTCATTTATGTTTATTTCAAACTTGTTATTAAAGTTTGCAGAAGAGATATTATTATTGAGTTGATACATAAAAATTAAATGCTGATGGATATTTATTTTAAAAACATCCATCATTTTCATATCTTTCATTATAGGTTTAGCATGTTCACGCTTATTTTTAAAGTAAATGATGTTGCACGCATGTTTTTGTAGACTATAAATTTTTTTGAGTTTTGATGGTTGCGTACTTGCCCATGATATGTTTGCATAGCTGATGAAGCAATGAATTAGTGCAAAGTAGATTAGTTTAAGACTTTGTTTATTGATATATGAGCGAACTCGATACATTATACCAATTGTATTAGTGATTTTAGATTGAATATATCTTATTCAATATCTTATCTTGAGGAAGCCAGGATAACTTCTCATCAACAAGAATTCCTAAGAATCCAATACTGACTTGTTTTTTGATTAAGTTATAATTTAATATAAGGTCAGGCAACTTAAGAGGAAGGTTTTCTTCTTGTGTTTTTTTGTGGAATAATATATAGTTTATTTTTTCATTGTTTAGTGAGAGTTTGTTAGCCCTAAACCAATTATTTACTTTATTTAGTTCAATATTCATATCTGCATATAAATTCTTGATATCACTGTATGTAAAGGCGAGTTTCCACTCATCCGTTTTTTTAACGGGAACGGGATATGAAAGCTAAAAATAATCACGTGAGCATGCGTAATAAGAGTTTTTATTTGTCCGAAAGGAAACTGCGCATGCTCACGTGATTATTTTTCCCTTTCCCATAGAAAAACGGATGAGTGGAAATTCACCTTTAGAAATATTAGCTATAAAATATATAAAGCAGCCGTGGCGCAGTGGTTAGAGTACTGGCTCAGAACCCAGAGGTCCGAGGTTCGACGCCAGCTCCAGTCCAAAAAGCGACATTGGTACGGAAGGAGGCGTGAACTTCCCATTAAATGCTCTCTTGCGGTGCTCTATGATAAGACCGTAAGGACTTCTGGGAGCACCTAAATACATACAAAAAAAAAAAATACATTTGTATTATCAGCAAACATGACTAAATTCAGTTTTAAAGATGCATTTCAAAAATCATTTATATAAATATAGAGACCATAAATATTATTAAAACAAGTATAATATAACATCAAAAAAATATTAGTAAAGAATGTAAATAATATCGTGAAAGCCATGTCGGAAAAATACTAAACTGACATCTTAAGTTAATCACCAAGTTTTTACTTGATGATTAACTTACTTTAGAAAAGTACCTTAAAAAAGCAAACTAATAAAAATTTTAACTAAAATAACTATCATATATTAATATATATATATATATATATATATATATATATATATATATATATATATATATATATATATATATATATATATATATATATATATATATATATATATATATATATATTTGAAAATATTTTTTTATTCATTTAGGTTTAAAAATATTTTTTTAATTTAACCAAACTCTCAGTGGATGTAACAACATTTTCATGTAGCACCAGGCTATAAGATAGTCAATATAACAACACTCCGCTCATGTTTTACATGCGAAACTTATCCACACTTATGCCGCGTACTGGCTTAAGTCCGTACAAATATGCACTTATGCCGATATAAAATTGTTAATATGTCAATACAAAGTTGCACTTATGCCAATATTTGCTATTTTATTCGGCGCATTTATGCCAATACGCCCTTATGCCAGTTTTTATAACTGCTTCGCACTTATGCCAATGTTTGCAAATTTATTCAATTTGCGCTTATTCAGCCTCCTGTCTAAAAATACAATAATTATGAAATAGTACGAGCTTAAATAAGCCGTAACTATTAGAGTTAACATAGCCATGCGGACGTTTTTAAACCATATGGTAGCTGTGGACCTAATCTTCCATTAAAAGAAATTAAATTGTGCGATTAAATTGTGCTTGGTTGCATTCGCATTTCAGAAATCAGCCGTGAAAAACTTTAGAAAAAAATATACCAGCTAGATTGGGCGTGTCAAACTCGATCCTAGCAATAAATGATGCATTACAATTACTCTATTAACAGAAAATTAGATTCCATTGTTGTTTGTCTTCTCTGGCTTTTGGCTTTTCAAAAATTTTCTCGCATAATAGACGTTTATCTGTTAAATTTTATGAATAATTTGATAGCCAGATACAAATGTATTGCCACAATATAGTTGATCGATACCTTGCCCTATGTCAAAATATCTCCACAATTTCTTATGCTCAGCAAAATACGGTGTTGAATTATACGAACTGTCATTCTTTATAGCTTTACCTTTTATAATATATTTTATCACCGTATATTCCTAATTATTTCTTAACAAAAATAATCACGAAAATAAAATGCAGCAGCAGACAAAGTTTACTTATTTGTGATCTGTTTATTTTCTTTGTTATTCTTCTAGCTTACTCAGTGTGTTTTGATGAACATGAGCCTTTAATACTATTACTCACTACTCAACGCAGGGTCAAAGCACTGTAATAAGCAATTAATTTTTTTATTAGTTATCTTAATAAACACAGAAGAAGCGTATTTTTTTTAAAAAGCAATCAAAAAAATATTAACGTGGATATCATCATTTTTTGTCAAAGCAATTATCAAGTAAATTTTGGGTTCTATTTTACGATAATGCCAAGGTTGTTGAATTAAAGGTAATTAGTTTATAAAATAATTTCCTATATAAAATATATATAGACATATAAAATATACTTCTTATAATGTATATAAAATTTCTTTGTAAGCAATCGAAAACATATGTCATTTATATCCTTTTATGATTTTTTAATATTTTATTCATTTTCCAAATTAATTTTCCTTAAGAGTAAGTTAAAATCGAACTTTAGTTTTTTTTGTATATGGCAGTCTACATTTTTATGAAAATATTTTCAGTTAATATTTTTTTCAAATCTTTTGGTTTCGGTTCTTATGACGGAGTTAAAAGAACTAAGTTAGAACTTTTTTTTTCTAAAACACGTTTTTTAACGGCTGATTTTTTGAGATACGAATGCAATTTTATTTTTTTAAATGAAAATTAGATCTTAAGCTATGCATAGCTGTAGATCTAATTTTAATTTAAAAAAATAAAATTGCAGATCATAGTTATGTTCTGATGTAAAATAAAAAAAACGATAAAAAATCACTTTCATCCAAGTGTTTTTTACTTTTTTAATATATGAAAGCTCATTGAATTTTTAATATCTCAAATAAAGCTAAACTGTGACAGTAAAAACTCAATGGAGGACAAATATATATATATATATATATATATATATATATATATATATATATATATATATATATATATATATATATATATATATATATATATATATATATATATATATATATATATATATATATATATATATATATATATATATATAATATTTATACATATATATATATATATATATATATATATATATATATATATATATATATATATATATATATATATATATATATATATGTATATATATATATATGTATATATATGTATACATATATATAATATATATATATATATATATATATATATATATATATATATATATATATATATATATATATATATATATATATATATATATATATATATATATATATATATATATATATATTTGTCCTCCATTGAGTTTTTACTGTCACAGTTTAGCTTTATTTGAGATATTAAAAATTCAATGAGCTTTCATATATTAAAAAAGTAAAAT